CCAAAAATGCCTCCATCTTCCACTGGATTTTTTCCGCGCGAAATATAATCTTAGGCATCTACTTCCCGAGTGGATTAGGTGCCCGGGCTACTCAAATTATACTGGAGAACACTACCAGGAGACAGACCACAGCACCTTCCATCGTTGGCTTGTGTTTATAGTGTCAGCTGCACTCTCGCAAGCGAAGCTTTAGCGCGCACAAAGCTCAATTCGTAAAACACCTTGACAAAATTCTAAGTTTCACACCCTTCAAGATTGTGTCTTTCTTTTACATCATCTTGCAAGATTTTCCTGGTATTTCTCACGCCCATACTAAAGACCTGCCTCTCAGATTCTTGCGCCGCGCTTTGTTTCTCCTGACAGCTTTAAATATCGGCGTGAGCGTGTATTTGATGGCCAGCCAAGACTAGAAAAATTCGACGATAGGTGTGGTCATTGAAATGAGGATGTACCAAGTCGCACTTGAAAACTTGATGATTTCTTGTTCGGCCTGGTGTCGCCGGTTTTGAAAATTTGATATGGTGAGGTAACTTGAATTATTGCCTCGTGGGCCAGCTTCTTTAGTACTGCGAAATTTGTCTATAATTATTTCTGGATGAATATTTTACTCCCAGGTTCGTAACGGACACCGCGTACAGGTGTTCAGTCTTGTCCTCCGCTAGCTTTTGTTCTCACGTACACAAACAACGCGAGTAATTTTTCGCATCATACCAGACTTGAATCAGTGATCTTCCATCTCAAGTATTGTAGGTGATCTAGATGTGCAAACTTCCCTCGAGAGACCACCTCAGATAATATTTCCCTGCAATATCCGGCCATAACTATCGGCATATAGTGTCGCCTGCACTTTCGCATACGGATTCGTGGCGCACACGATGTTTCTCAATATTGAACCAGAACTTGACCCATAGAATCTCAAGCATGGAAAAAATGGTTATTGACGTAGAGACGAGTTAGTTAGATGCCCTAGCGGTCCTTTTAATCTAGTGATAAGTCGAGACTTCAATTTAAATCTGTCAATATTCAATGTCGAAAATGTGGGGCCACCGTCGATAACTAGTGGATGAATTGAAGTCCCTACTGACTTCATAATAATGAAGGGCTGAATATTGGACGAATTATGGTATAGTGGCTACCTATTCCAGCAAAGAGGCGTTATCTTGGAGGGTCAAGGGCACCCATAAACCCGTGAGGTAAATATTGTTGAGGAGCTGTTCTGTTGGAAGTCTTCAAGGGAGGCGTGGCAGAGGATATGTAACCCGTGGCATAGATAACATTAGCCTGTATCTAAAAATAAGCTGCACGCACCATATACTCACATTTTGATAAAACAAAGCAAAATAAAATAATTTTTATTGTTGACTGTCAATCATCGCTTCTTCGGAATTTCCCCCAAAGACTACTGGCCCCTCAGCTGTTATTGATAAACATCTGGTAACTACCCTATGCCTCAATATTTCAATCTATTCTTACAATGATAAATTGGTCAAACTGCAAGTTACGTGTTTGCAAAGAGTCGAAAGATAATAGACCATGAATTAGATTAATACATATTTGACAAAATCAGCGCTCCACTGCCACACAATCTGGCGATATATAGATTTACTTTCAATCGATTAGCTATTTAAAGATTATACCTTCATATCAACACATCTCTGGCTCGTTTCGAGGGACTATCTCAACACCTGTCAGTGGTGTCCCCTACGAACTTCCAGCTCTCACTGTAGAACCTGCAGAGCCGAGATTGAGTAACAAAGTCCTCACTTTGACTGGGATTCCCAATCGCTTTCGCCGTCTGTATCGTCTTCATCTCTAAGCACATTCCCCTATCACCATTATCATGAAGCTAACCACCGCCAGATCAGATGGTAGGGTCGGAGCCCTTCTTATCACCCACCCTTGATCACGGAGGAGAAGCCATCCAGTGAGTTTCCGGAGCGTACCCAGCACCCGATACGGAGATGGTGGATTGGATCAAGTCGGCCTCGAATGTTACAAAGATGGGAGATATAGATGAATATGCGCACCTCATGTGGTCCCGGTGTCTGGACCTCGCCTGGCTGGGGCTGCAGGTTTTTTGAGACTTTTTCCTGCGCACTAAGTTTCCATTGATACCAATTTTTTAAAATTTTTTTTGGGTAGAAGGTTCCGTGGAAAAGGTGGCTGAATTCCACGGGTAAATACTGAGCTGAATGGTCATTCATCACGGACAATACATCAATGATCTTTCGAGTAACATGAGAGGTAAGGAGCACTGGACAAGGTGTGGCCTGGGTCAGAGAGGAGCCCAATGTACTAGATTGTCATAGACTTAAATAGTACAACAAATACACCTCTCCGGATCGTATCGCTTTCCTAGGAATCATTTGAGATCTATCGGCTTCAGAGACCGATGACATAACATAATCACTCGACGAAATGGCACATGAGGCTAAACATCAGATATTTTTCAAATCAAAATAAAATGCAATTAGGTTGACTATCCACTGGGCATATACTAGAGGATGAATCGTAAATTATTTTGCTCCAACGTTTAATTTTATCCTGTCTGAAGTCTCAGATAACGCAGTTTAGCAGCATAATTTCTATGCTTGGATTAGATTTAGCTGAGCCTTAGACTCTAGGTTACTATGCCAAACGGGATAGAAATCACATGCTCTATGACACATGATTATCGACGTAGACGTTACGTAATATTATCCAAACTAAAGTTATTATTAGCGAGAGATAAATACTCTTGGTGTTTCTATTGTTTATCTCTTCGAATAATGTCAAGTGTCTGGGACTTTTCATAGAGGGGGAAGGCGGACTCGCTGCATAGGTATTACTGCCCCGGTATCAATTGGTTATTGTGGGACGAACTACTAGCAAATCCCAATTTACATGCAGGGGCGTACCAAAATATCAACCATACTTGCTCTTACATTTCTCTAGGGTGATAATCGTTGACATGGCCAGGAAATATCTTGAGTTATAAATAATCTTCTTTGTCATCCTTGAAGCTGGATGCATTGTAAACGCCTGCGCGAAAACCTCCAGTTTAAACTTGCCGACTTCAGTAAGGCTAGTCAGACGATGGTTCTAATATTTGGGATAGCAGCTTATGACGATATCTCTAGATTCATATTACATCAAAGATTGGGATTCATTGCATGGGGAATTAGGAATTCTTCAATGACTGTTACAGCCTCATGGGCTTACGCTGTTACATGGGCGGTTTTTCGATACTATTTATGTGGGCTGTCCACGTGACATCATCTGATAGTCAGGCTAAGAGTGACTTATGTAAGTCGTAGCAGAGACTCAATTGTGAGGCTTATCTAGTGGGAGAGATGTTTATTATTTTATTAATTCATTTTATTGTCCTTTTTGAGTCTATGACTATATAGGATATGCAGGTCCTCATTATCTACAGGCCAAGGATACCTATGCCAGTAGTATATTCCTAGTGAGAGAGGTTTGTTTATTGTACTATTTGAGTCACAGACTATCTAGCACATTGGGCTCCTCTCTGACCCAGGCCGCACCTTGTACAGTGCTCCTTGCCTCTTTTGTTAATTGAAAGATCATTGATGTATTGTCCGTGATGAATGACCATTGAGTTCAGTGTTTACCCGTAGAATTCAGCCACCTTTTCCACGGAACCTTCTACCCAAAAAAATTTTAAAAAATTGGTATCAATGGAAACTTAGTGCGCAGGAAAAAGTCTCAAAAAACCTGCAGCCCCAGCCAGGCGAGGTCCAGACACCGGGACCACATGAGGTGCGCATATTCATCTATATCTCCCATCTTTGTAACATTCGAGGCCGACTTGATCCAATCCACCATCTCCGTATCGGGTGCTGGGTACGCTCCGGAAACTCACTGGATGGCTTCTCCTCCGTGATCAAGGGTGGGTGATAAGAAGGGCTCCGACCCTACCATCTGATCTGGCGGTGGTTAGCTTCATGATAATAGTGATAGGGGAATGTGCTTAGAGATGAAGACGATACAGACGGCGAAAGCGATTGGGAATCCCAGTCAAAGTGAGGAATTTGTCACTCAATCTCGGCTCTGCAGGTTCTACAGTGAGAACTAGAAGTTCGTAGGGGACACCACTGACAGGTGTTGAGAATAGTTCCCCTGGCTCATCTAGTTTTTTGGTATGCAGAATATAAATCTTTACTTTTGGATTCACCTGTACGAACAGCTGTCGTGATCACTCCCTTTACAATAACCGGCAACCTTTCGTCAGTCATAGACTCAAAGGGCATGGAGAAGGCCGTAAACAAATAAGTAATACTTTCTTGTAGTTTTATGCATATTAATAGCTCGTCAGAATCTGCATTCAATCTCTGGATAAAATTACGATAGATAATTGAAAGGAAATCGACTCCTGAAACCACCAGAACCACAACTAAACTAGTTACTGCTCAACAGATGACTTTCGAAATGATAGTCAGTTTATTCTGAGTCGTTAGTCAGAGTAAATATCACTCGCTAAACATGAGCACTGAAACTCAGCTCCATCTTAACTAGATCTCGAAACTCAGAATCCATCATATGGACAACAAAATATAGCAATTCGCCTGGAATCCTTGTCATGCGTTTCACAGTAGGACGCATATTCTCTTCGTTCGAACGGGACAAGGCAAGAAACCTAGAGGAAAGTGAGATGACTCGTTATTCGAATTGATGCTGCGCATTATTATTATAATGTTTAAACTATGTGACTCGTAGAAGGCGCAAAGTTTACTGAGACATGAAGTCCACAAGAAACTGGAAGCCCCAACCTGGTTTCTGTCTTACTATATCTGAGTCGATTTGGAAAGCACTACTGAACCCTTAGGCTTATAACTATTATTCCATTCTTTTTCGCCAGTCCCTTAGTTATTACAGCGATACATCCATCAAATACTCATTCTTTACCAACATTCACTCTCCTAGGCCAGCCAGCAACGACCCAGTCAGTTTGGTCTAGCAACAAGATTCTCTCTCTTTAAAAATCTTTTAATTTTCAAATGCCTCGACATGAGGAGGCCAGTGATGAAAGTCGCTCTAATAGGTCTTTCTCTCCTGCACCTCAGATCCCCCCTATACAAGATTTACCTCCTCCACGAAGCCGCTCAAACCCACCAGCCGAGATACCACTTGACTCTGCGGAAGAAGTAATAGTAGTTCAAAATCGTGTTGGTGGTTTGCGAAGGAGGCCTAGCAACACGCCTCGCAGGTACTCACAAACAGATCTTGAGCGGCCTACTATTTTTGAGCAGTCTTCACGACGACGCCTTCGCGCTAGCAGTGATTTGGGCCGCGATGAGGAACTACATTTGGATCATCCAAATCATCCAGATTCTAACGGTAGAGCTCGCCCACCACGAGCCCATCGTAACGGAGATGGGTGGGAACGAAAGCCCGGATCAGTACGTAAGTCCCGTTTCGAAGATACTAGACTAGATCTAGAGCGCGGACCTGACCAATGGAATCATCGGAGAACCTACAGCATAGACGATGGAAGCATGGAAACTTACAACAATGATCGAATTAATTTCAAAGAATTATCAGCCGAAGAAAGAGCAGCAGCCTTACGCCTACCGTGGACTCAGTGGATGAATAGTAGTATCAAAAATCGTATTTAAGCCCTTTCATTCTTGTTAATTTTTCTCCACAGTATCAGTGCTGACAAAACTGTGCAGACTTCGTGGCGACGTTGGGTGAATTTCTTGGGACGACAATGTTCTTATTTTTCGGGTTTGCAGGCGCACAAGTAGCCAATTTTAAACCACCAACTACGAGTACAGACGCCACTGAACAGCCCAGCTTTGATATAACAGTTTATCTCTATATATCTATGATATTCGGGTTTTCACTAATGGTTAATGTCTGGATCTTTTATCGCATTTCCGGCGCACTTTTTAACCCAGCAGTGACGTTGGCGATGACTCTCGTCGGTGCCATTCCTGTCGTAAGAGCAGTCTGTCTTTTCTTCGCGCAAATAGTTGGTAGTATTGTGGCTAGTGCTTTGGTACAGGTCTTGTTCCCTACCCCGCTAAACGTTCGTACATCCCTATCGCATGGGGTGAGTTTGGTTCAGGGTTTGTTCATTGAGGCTATCCTAACTGCCGAATTGGTTTTTACCATATTTATGCTTGCAAACGAAAAACACCGTGCCACTTTTTTAGCGCCAATAGGAATAGGACTTGCTCTTTTTATTGCTCAGCTGGTCGGCGTCTTTTATACAGGTGGCTCGCTCAACCCGGCTCGAAGTTTGGGACCATGCGTGGTGACAGGTACATTTGAAAGTGAGCACTGGATCTACTGTAAGTCTTTATCCACTCACACATTGCGGGCTTTCAATAGGTTTGAGCTAATGCCACTTAGGGGTGGGTCCATTTATGGGTGCTCTAATAGCTGTTGCATTCTATAAATTCATTAAGCTTTTAGAATACGAGATGGCCAATCCTGGCCAAGATGGTGATGATACGAACGACCCTACGAAGAATGCAAATAAAATGGAAGAACTTCGTCGAAGAAGAGAAGGAAGGTAACAATAATGCCATAGTGGAGCTTATATTTTTGGAACTATGTTATTCAGCGAATACGGTGAGGAGTATTATCTACAAGGCTGTATCGACCCACCTTGTTAGGGTCGTTTTGGTTTCTAATGCATTCAAAAGTCAATTGATATTTACATGAATGCTAATGTATTTCTAACAAGATTAAAAAAATTAAGTATGATATTTATTTGACATCAAATACAACTTATCCTTATTCTAATTTAAACCTCGGGCACTGCGATGAGGAACTGTGTGTTCATGCATAGGGGGTTGCGAAGTGACTTACAGTAGACTATGGTCTCAAAGTACGCTAGTACATGATTGCATAATGTGATACTTACTAATCTTCTCAACGCAATGTCTCGTGACCTGGACACACAGAACCATGCTATATACCTTTGATTTAATAGACTATTATACTAGGCTTATAATAAACACCGAGGGGGTGATATGGTTGTGTGATCCTTGTAACTCACTTCTATTTACGCCTTAGATCTTGCTAACCCAAAAGCTTGGTTGAACTAGAAAAGCTAATAGATATAATTTTTTTGCATTTTATTGTCCTAATGAGTCTATGGCTATACTAGGATACGTAGTTCCTTTCTGCCAACGTGCTGATAGTATCTATAGCTCTAGTAGTGCAATCGCCCCTATGCCTGCTTGACGACTTCTTTCTGTTGGAAATATCGCGCAATATTTGTGGAACGAAAGTAGAGGTTGACTAAAAGAGTGTCATGTTCGGATTACAGCTCATTGTGTGGGAAGTGTGCGCTACAAGTACAAGTGTAATAGCTAGATAGCTGCATACGCAATTCAAATCTGATGCAAAAAAAAAGTACAAGTTTAAGTGTAAGTGGCAGGGCATGACCCTCAACATCTATTGGAACACATCAAACAACTTCATTTTAACATTGAAATAGTAGCCAGAATTTTGATGGTAGATTCTAGAAGTCCCTCATAGTCTTAGACTCAGTAGGGACTATAATAAAAATTCTTATCTTAAGTGTAAGTGACACATGGCCTAAGCCACAGCATAAACGAGTGTGGCCTGGGAGTGAAATATTATCCCAGAGCCAATTTCAGTCAAATTTTGCAATACCGAACAGGTTGGCCCACGAGGCAATGATTCAAATATCTCCACCACGTCAAATTTTCATTCCCAAAAAGATCGAATCCTACCCAACCCTCATCAAGTTTACAAGTACGACCTAGTACATCCTATTTCAATGACCACACCTCTCGCCGACCTTCTCTGGCCTCAGCCGGTCACCAAATTCACGCCCATGCCGATATTTACACCCGACGGAGGAAGCAAAGCGTGATGCACAAATCTGGGAGACAATTCCTTGGGATGGATATGAGAGAGATCAGGACAAGTTAATAAGATGATGCAGAGGATTGGATACAGTCTCGACGGGCGTGGAATTTTGAGATTTGGAAAGGAGTTTTTACAAATTGAGTTTTGTGCGTGCCAAGACTTCGGCTGCGAGAGTGCAGGCGACACTATAAAAACTGCCATGGTTGGATGGTGCGGTGGTACATCGTCTTGGACGGTCTGCCAAGGAGAGTCTGGATAGCTTCAACACATATCCCACTCGAGACAGTAGATTGCTGGTTCAAATACGGCAAAACACAACCACATTTCTCGCGGCGCTGGTGTACATAGACGACGAAGGCATACTTGGATAACCAAAGGTTTCGAATTTCCCTTTGGTGGGTACTAACGGAGGAGGGTCGACTATTTGTGTAAGCAAGCATACCTCATAGTGGTATTTGCGAATGAAATCCAGAGTATGAGTGTCTCTAACGTCAAAAGAGTCATCCCACATGTATACATAGCACCGGTCATGTGTCATAGCTAGATAGCTCAATACACATTAAATGATAAAAAAAATAAAAAATAAAACGAGTGTGGCGCCATCTAGTCATAGAATACCCCAAATAACCTCCTTGTGTCCACGCCATACAGCCGCTCATATATCCAATAGGTAGCGTGAAGCGCTACAACATTACCCATTCCAACCTCTTCAATACACACAAGATCGTGTCGGGAACCTAGACGAAATGGAGGGCCCGTACGTCCACAACACTCTATGTCTCCATTACCAACACTTTCCCATGGCAATGTCCCCATAGGACTGGGGACGAAACTCAGTACCTGTCGGTGGTGTCCCCTGCGAACTTTCAGCTCTCACCCTAGAGGCTATAGAGCGGAGATTAAAACTACCGTCCTCTTTTTTTTAAATCATTTAATGTGTATTAAGCTATCTAGCTATGACACTAGTGTCTAGGCCTCGCTTGGGTCAGGCTGTAGATTTCTTGAGATTTTTCCCGCGCACGCAGTTTTCATTACTACCATATTTTTTTGGGTAGAAGGTTTCATGGATAGACATGCTGAATTCTGCGGGTAGCTACTAATTCGATTGGCTGTAGAGATGTAGCGGGCTACGTAATATGGTCATTTAATTAGAACTAGTAGCGCGGTGGCCTTGAATTTACGCGTCGTAGGCCTACAACAATAGGGGACTTGCGACCTCCCGCGACTCCGACACCTAACGTATTCCTGCTATTCATCCTGGGCAATACATCAGAGACCTTTGAAGTTGTAAAAGGGGATCGGAGCACTGTACAAGGTTTGGCCTGGGCCAGAAAAGAGCCCATTGTGCTAGATAGTCTATCGGTCAAGTGGTAAAATAATCACACTTCTCTCTCCCTTGAGCGTCTGGAGTAGTCGGCAAGTCGAATTCTTCACCTTTCAGTGGTGCCGTTTAATCGCTCAATATGCTCTGCAAATCTGGGATGGCCAAGAAGAACCGCATCCGAATCGAAGTCGAATGCAAGCACAGACGCATCTATTATCGGCGACTTCCCATCAATGTCGGTCTTGTCATTCTCACGAGAGCCCACTACCTTAACCACTCAACACCACCTCGCCTCAACGATCGATAGGCTTGACCCTCAGGATCAACTGGCATATAATTGTAATATTCAAATTAGAAATCAACCAATAAATTAAGGAGCTATTAAGGTAGGCCCTTAAGTAGTCTTTTATAGTCTAAAACCCAGTAGAGACTCAAATTTAAATCTATCAACCACCGATAAAGACTTCACTCTGATTGCAAGCAGGAGCTTGCCTCATTTGTCACCGACCATCACTCAATACAAATTTACGACGCTACGTATACCCGCAAGGAGGAAGTTCAGTCGTAATGCATACAAAGTTGGGGTCTTGGTTTATGGGGGACTTTTGCTCTAATGGGGTTATTCACCTTGAGGAAATACAGGCGACTGGGGCGTGGAAAGAGATAGGAGGGTAAGACTGAACACCTGTCAGTAGTGTCCTCTACGAACCTGGGAGTGAAATATTCTCCCAGAGCCGAGATTCAGTCACGAAAAAGGGTGGGATCAATTTTGTTTGATGGATTTTCGACTTGAAGGAGTTGCACTCGATATTTTGGTCGAAAAGTCAGTCGGCAGAGATTTCACAGCCGCAACAAAGTCGAACAAAAACCCATCACCGCCAACACACGATTCACGAATGGATTTAAGTCTGTTTGGGGGGTCGTATTCAAACATCCGAAATCTCTCAAACTCCTTATATATCTGCGACGATCCATTTCACAAACAATCCCACACCTGCAACTCACCTCCATACTCGTTACATCACCTACCTACACACGCCCTAATAAGCAAATTCATGATGGAAACGGGACGTGTAAAAAGAAGGAAGAAAAGGGAAGATACAACGAGGGGATTTCACAAATCTCCAATGATGACAACATCCCCACGCTAGGATATGAAGGTGCAAGGCTAGAGCAACGATGAGATCTTGGACGGCATTTATATTTCGGAGTCAACGAGGATATCAAGGGCTCGGGCGCGTTGTGGCCGAGGCTGAGGAGGAAATTGCACTAGGGCATGTATACAGTGGGTTTCTGGACGGTTAGGCTTGGTATGATTCAACTCATATGTTGAAGTCTGAGGTGGTCCGGTCATTAAAATGGGACGAGATTTATCTGTACTTCACGGTAGTTAACCTGATCCGGCCCGACCCCACTCGTGCTTAAGCTCCAATAGGAGTGCAACGGTAGTCACTTAACATAGCACGTTAATGAACCAAAAATAAAAGCCCTTGATTCTTAATATCACTATCTATTCATCCTCTATTCTAGCAAACAATGTCTCCCGAAAAGTCTGCTTCAGAAACCCAAGTTCGCAAGCAGCTAACTCGCGATCAATGAATTGGAATAAAAACATTAAGAAGACTTGGCTTGACATCACAATATATAACCGACGAACTTGGCTTCACAAGAAGGCAAGTACAATTTGCGTGTGCTCGAGGGGATGAGAAGCTTATACCTCGCAAAGGGACGCCCACCAAAATTAAGCGCGGAACAAGTTGATGAGCTTGATGCTTTGCGTGCGGGAATCTCCCGAAAATCGTCAGATGTGCTATTTGAAACTAGCAACGGGTCCCTTCTACCTCTGGGATGCAGTGAGCGTTTAATTTCCAACATCCTCAAAAAATTAGGTTACAGCAGATGCATTGCTCGGAAGAAGCCTCCGTGAAGTGTAGTTAATATGCACGGAAGATTTGGAACGATTATAAGGGCAAATGGATGTTGCACAAAGTATTAGGATGGAGCAGACTAATGCAAAACATGTAGTACACGTATATTTTACTTGTGAGCCATACTGAGGGCTTCGATGTATACTTTTGTAACACAGAGGAATTATTTTTGAAATAGATGTGTATTTTTAGATAATATCAATTGATTTTTGAAAGTTTTATATTTTAAAAGAGGACCGATTTAGAGTTTCTTTGGAATTGAAAAATATCCCCGTAATTTAGACTTTCACGGAATGTCATTGGATAGTACTCCTGGCTTGCTTAACTAATCGTTAAACTAGACATGGGCCTGCATTAAAACTAAACCAATCAAATCCTTATTTACAGGGATCTAACCCCAGTCATTTTGAAATTTTGACATTTTCTATCCATAAGAGTTTTTATCTCTAATGCATAGCATATTGAAGGTTTGCTTTTGTTCTTCATTTACATCCTATATAAGTCTATGGCTATCAGAGGATGATTTCAATTTAGCACATATTGAAGGTCATGGATGACGCATGCGACAAGCTCATTGGCAGATCTGCTAGGGAGCACTCCCAAAAGGCTGGCGTGGCACCGCCTTGTGGGTACTAGTAGGTAAATGAGACTGTTATCGCCCGGGACTCACAATATTGGATTCATGAGGTGATCAATATCGAAGTCCAAGTTAAGCAGAAGGTTTCCTGTCTTTTCCTCTATCGACTACTACGCTCTGTATACATCCTGTACTATTGCCCTGAGCGGCGATCTCGTCTTCCCCTACAAGTGGCAAGACGTCACCCGCTCCTGATTGTCTGCGCTTTGGGATCCTCAGCCTTGTGGGATAGAGCGGTGTCGGCTATCCACTCGGCAACTAACCTCTCGAGACCCTTGTCGGGTTAGGAAAGTAGTGAGATGAGACGCCGGCCTTCTGCTGAGCTGAGGTCTCTTTTTTTATTGCATCAAATTTTAATTGCGTATGCAGCTATCTAGCTATGACACAATATCAAAGAAAAGTACAGAACAGATGATTCAACGTAAGAGAAGAGCACTCATGCTTGAGATTTCATTTGCAAGTACCACTGCGAAGTTATGGTGGCTTTTTCTTCGGCCAAAGTTAACCTTCATCCGTGAATACCCACCCAGTGCTGAGGTCTCGGTAGGGTTTTGAGTGCAGGTTGACTTCCTCTGACCGCAACATCTTCAAAGTAAACACATATCTCTATGGGTGATCAGATCTGAGCAGTAGGAATACGTGGTCATCAGGCCTTTCAGATTTCGTTGCTGATGTCATGGACTTGGGCACTGGAACGGACTCCGTCTGTTTCGGCTTTATATTGTGATTGTCTGATAGACCTGGTGTTGTATTTCATCAAAGTCGGAGAGTATATTGCGGAGTAAAGTAGTGTCGAATTGCAGATGCGATTGCGTCAAAGAAATGGAGGGTTGTTTGACAGTTTGGCGCTCCTGTGGGTCTTAATAGTGTGGGGATGTGTGTGTGTTTTTATGGTGCAACTTGAGTCTCTCTATCTAGCACATTGGGCTCCTCTCTGACCAAGGCCACACCTTGTCCAGTGCTCCTATCCTCTTTTGTTACTTGAAAGATCATTGATGTATTCCCCTTGATGAATAGCCATTCAGCTCAGTATTTACCCGTGGAATTCAGCCACCTTTTCCACGGAACCTTCTACCCCAAAAAAAAATTTTAAAAAATTGGTATCAATGGAAACTTCGTGCGCAGGAAAAAGTCTCAAAAAACCTGCAGCCCCAGCCAGGCGAGGTCCAGACACCGGGACCACATGAGGTGCGCACATTCATCTATATCTCCCATCTTTGTAACAGTCGAGGCCGACTTGATCCAATCCACCATCTCCGTATCGGGTGCTGGGTACGCTCCGGAAACTCATCGGATGGCTTTTCCTCCATGATCAAGGGTTGGTGACGAGTAGGGCTCCGACCCTACCATCTGATATGATCGTGGTTAGCTTCATGATAGTGGTGATAGGGGAATGTGTTGAGAGATGAAGACGATACAGACCGCGAAAGCGATTGGGAATCCTCCTCGAAGTGAGGACTTTGTTACTCAATCTCGGCTCTGCAGACTCTACAGTAAGAGCTGGAGGTTCGCAGGGGACACCACTGACAGGTGTTGAGAATAGTCCCCCTAACCGAGGCAGTATGGCTGACGTAAAACCGAAAGATTGGCTAACACCATATTTTTTTGTGCATTAATTTGCTAAGCTAGCTAGTTGGGCGATTATGCGCTCCTGTAGGTGTTTAGGTACGTGTGGGGCCGTGTCGGATCAGGATGACTGCCGGATCTCGTCTCAATTTGAGGGCAAGGAGGACCTAAGCTACAATCGACGTGTGTTTAACCCAGAACTTCATTTCTGGAATTGTATGTTAGCCCGATGGCTGCATGCGCAATTGAAATCTGGTGCACGAAGAATATCTCTGTCCGGTAGCCTGAGAGGATCTACATTTCGTAATATATTCGGGGACTCCATAGGACAAATAACTCAAGACAGAGAGCTGAGAATTTGCAGGGGTAACTGCCGATAGTTGTTGATTTTGTGATTCCCCTCAGTGGCTAAAAGGGTTTAAGACGTGGTAATTTTGTGAGATAGATTGTTTTTCTGACTGCAGGTGAACATGCCCTGGCTAGACAAGGTTATCTGTTGACTGTTAAAGGCAAGCTTCGGCCATGTAGCAATACCTTTCTTCTATAATTATCATTGGCACTGACTCTAGCATGGGTCCCTAGAGAAGCTGAAATGGGTAAATGAGATTAGTGAGCAGACTTCTGCGTGGTTAGTTAGTCTCTAGTCCAAGCGAAAGTACGATTGACGTGCAGACACATGGGATTAGTGCCAAGACTTAGGACCGGGGATAAGGGGAAGATATTATTTTTTTTAAGGTCACTCAATGCGTATTTAGGATTCCATATAAATGTGTATTCAGCTATCTAGCCATAAAACTTGATCATTGACTCGCATACATGTAAGGTGGGTCATTTTATCCTGAGATACACTCTTCTAGATACCACACAATGATAACACAGAGGTGTGTTTGCAAAAGTTGAACAGCCTGTCCTCCATCGTACCTACCCGACGAAGAGGAGTTTAGTGCCTTTGATTGTCCAAGCGCTTCGGGCAAGGCGATTGAGTCATGCCGGATTCCATCCAGGTATTATCTGAAGCTATCCTGGGAGACAAGCCCGAACAAAGTACCACTGCACTACGTAACCAAACCAAATTTTAAGGTGTCTGCATTTTGGAAGTAGAAAGTTTGGCACGCACAAAGCTCTTTAGTTTTTAATCCTTGACAAATATCAAAATCTCATCCATTGGGATTGAATCCATGCTCTGCATCATCTTCTCCACCCTATCTCATCCTCTCGAAGATTGATCAATAGGTTTTACCTCCCAGATAAATGCATCACGAATTCGTTTCCTTTTGTTAGCGTTATCGTGAGCGTGCATTTGCTGACCAGCAGGAGTGAGAGACAAAGAGAGCAGTAGTTGTAGACATCGATACGTCAAATGTTAGGTCGTAAATATAAACTTCATCATAATTTGCTGGGAATCGATTCGTCCGGAAAAGGAAATCTGCATTTTTGTTGAGAATAGCAAATTATCAAATCGCGGGCCAGCTTCTGTGTTATCATCTAATCTGACTAAACTTAGCTCTGAGGATCAGTTTACTTCCTGGTTCGTTAGACATAATGTAGGCAGGCATTAAGTCTTTATCCTCCAATCATGACGAGTCGTAGGTTTATTGTTTTTTTTTTAAATAATTTTCATTCCTCAGTCTAAGACTATTTAAGACATGCAGGTCCTCTCTACCTACATGTCAAGGATACCTTTGCGAGAAGTATATGCTCTCATATACCTCCTACGCAGCTCCCCTCAGACAGTACGTAGGGATGTAGAGATGGTAGCGTTGAATGGGGCACTTTTTAGAATGTGTGATAGGAATGCAGGCTAAATTGAAGATCTGTACTTGGTTTGTAGTTGCTTGATGTTATCCTCGACTGACATCATTCAATTACTCTCTCTATTAAATCATTTAAATCAATTTCAACGACCGACCGACGTCAGTATCTGTGATCGAAAGTTTGCGCAGTGTACCCGACTAGAATCATCAGTTGCCCATGTCCCTCAAGCAACCTTCTCTCGAGCCTGGCTTCCGCCTGGAGGTAGCAACTCCAGATGACATGCCAGAGATCTGGCAGATCTATCAGGCAGCTTTTGAGGATGACGAGCAGATAATCGGTATCTTTCGGAATGTAGTCAATCCAGACGACATTTATCCTTGGCTTTGTGACCATTTCACTCCTCGGTTCAACTTTCCCGACATCATCACTTACAAGATAACAGAAGATGCGTCTGGGTGCGTCAATATCCCTGTTGTCGCTTCATTGAACGAGTAGACGCAAGACGAAAGGACTAATTTAAATCAGAGCCATTGCAGGCTGGACAGCTTTACAGATCCCATGGAAATATCTGCATCCATCAGTAATGACAGAACAGCTAAAGGCTAAAGCCACAAAGTCAGAATTGCCGCCGCCTTTACCAGGCATGGATATGCAATCGCTCGCAGACTTATTTCGAACGTTCCGTGAGTCTAAAAAAAATGGTTATGATCCTGAAAATGATTACCGTAAGAACCAAAAAACAAATGCTTAGAGAATAGGGGTGTAGCAGATTTTATCTAACGAATGATGTAGACCGCAAAGGAACCATGATCCGTCCCGACATGCAAAGGAAAGGATTTGGTTCTTTCCTCACCGAATACTGTAATCAGATTGCGGATCAAACGGCTGATAGAGTATGGACACGGGCCCGTCCATCATCCCTGAGAATGTTCCAGAAGAATGGTTTCGTCATCGCTAGCGTCTTTGATTGCAATCATGAACGATGGGGCGGCACGCGCGAAAAATCTATAAACTATATACTCCTTCATTCACCACCAGGCAGCTCAACTGGAAAGGATCTTACGAGATAAACCAAGAAATGGACCTATCATATACCTATTTTTTGTAGACTATCTTCTATCTCGTCTGACAAGAATCGCAAAACTTTGATAAAAATTTGCTATCCCACCAAATACTATCAAAGACTTTTGGGAGCTGAACGAGGGAGACAATTATCTGATCCTGCAGACGGTCTGGAAAATTGAAAAATTGGCTACATTGCACGACGCAACTAATTCCTCTTTAGAATTACGCTGTTGCACAGGTAGCATGCTTAGCCTGTTCCTGGAGTCCATCACGAATGAAGCCGAGCTGGCCCACGTACCCTATCTTTTTTAGCACAGTAAACCTCGCCCATCCCAAGAAGTAAAAATAAGTCACACTAAATATTAAATGGATCATAGCAAGTTTCGACATTTACAAAGTCTGGTGGATTTTCCTCAAAATTCTTCACAATCTCCCTCTCCCTCTTTTACCTTCCAAAAATCTCTATTTAATCTACTCTGTACCCAAACTTTGTTTTCGGACTTTCGGCGAATATCATGTAAACTACTCCCATCAGATTTCATCCGCGCTTTCCCTTCAGCGTTGCAACTATCAAGAGGGGAAGCAAAACTCAACGCCTGTCAGTGATAATCACTTCGAATCTCCAACCCTCACTGGAGAGTCTGCCAGGTAGCGACCGAATGATATTTTTTAACATTACTTGTATAATTATCGAGGCGAACATGCACCTTCTATCGTACCATGGGTTCGGACAAAACTAGCATTGAGTTTGATTTTATTTTCCCGACTTGGCGCCCTATGGGCTCATGCCGGTGTCTATGAACTATAATATCTGCGCAGGAGAAAACTTTATTGTAAAAGCCCCTCTGGTCTTTATTTTAGGTCTTGAGCTATGCTCTATATCTCCTAGGAGTCAAGGACCGGTGTAAACGGCCGAGATCATGCTTCCCACGTGCCCGACTCGGTCTCACCGCGTAACCCACTACACAAGCAGTAGCTAGTTATAAGAAAGAAAATATATGCTCCCACAGACTCCCATAACCAAGACTCCAAACCCTGTAATCCTATTTGTGATTGGAAAATGACATTTCTCGTCTCAATTTTCCACCTGTCACGATTTGTGCTATGACCTAATCACTACCGTCTACGCCGAGAGCTGGAGACGGACTCGCTGGTAGGTACCCGAAGTATCCGGTTTCCTGCGCAAATTTTGTAAAGTGTTCAAGGCACTTAGGCCCGACAAGCTTACAGGTAAAGTCGTGGTGAGGCATTTTCCCTAGAAGTTGACACGTCTGGCGTACGAGCAGTCGATAGTGAATGAAGTAGAGAGGTTATGTTTCCTCTCCACACGCACACTCTATTGAAGCGGCGAAGTTGTTGAATCGGCGATGATAGGCCGCGAAATTGCCGTGTCACTTTTTTTTTTTTTTTTTTGTATAAGATTTTAATTGCGTATGCAGCTATCTAGCTATGACAAAGTATCAAAGAAAAGTACAGAATATATGATTCATCGTAAAGGAAGAGCACTCATGCCTCAGATTTCATTTGCAAGTACCACTGCGAAGTTATGGCGGCTTTTTCTTCACCCCAAGTCAACCCTCATCTGTGAATACTCACTCAGGGGGACGTCTTAAAGACCCTGAGTTATCCAGACATGCCTCCATCATCTTTCAACTTTTCTCCGCGCGAAATATGGTCTGAGATGCCTCCTTCCCAAGTGTAGTAGGTGCCCAGGCTACTCAAACCATACCAGAGAATACCACCAGGAGGCGGGCCACAAAACCTTCCATCGTTTGCTTTTTTTTTTTTTTTTTTTTTTTTTTTTTAAATCATTTAATGTATATTCAGCTATAGAGCTATGACACATGACCAGTGCTATGTTTACATATTGGATGACTCTTTTGACATTAGAGACACTCATACTCTGGATTTCATTCGCAAATACCACTATGAGGTATGCTTGCTTACACAAACAGTCAACCCTCCTCCGTAAGTACCCACCAAAGGGAATTTCAAAACCTTTGGTTATCCAAGCATGCCTTCGTCATCCATGCATACCAGCGCCGCGAGAAATGTGGTTGTGTTTTGCCGGATTTGAACCAGCGATCTACTGTCTCGAGTGGGATATGTGTCCAAACTATCCAGACTCTACTTGGCAGACCGGCCCAGACGATGTACCACCGCACCATCCAACCATGGCGGTGTTTATAGTGTCGCCTGCACTCTCGCAGCCGAAGTCTTGGCACGCACAAAGCTCAATTTGTAAAAACTCCTTTCCAAGATTCAAAATTCCACGCCCGTCGAGACTGTATCCAATCCTCTGCATCATCTTATTAACTTGTCCTGATCCCTCTCACATCCATCCCAAGGAATTGTCTTCCAGATTTGTGCGCCACGCTTTGCTTCCTCCGTCGGGTGTAAATATCGGCGTGGGCGTGTATCTGGCGACCAGCTAAGGCCAGAGAAAGTCGACAAGAGGTGTGGTCATTGGGATTAGGATGTACTAGGTCGTACTTGTAAACTTGATGAGGTTTAGGTAGGAATCGATTTCGTTGGGAGTGAAAGATTGATATGGTGGAGTAATTTGAATCATTGCCTCGTGGGCCAACTTGTTCGGTATTGCGAAGTTTGACTGAACTTGGCTCTGGGAGAATATTTCACTCCCAGGTTCGTAGAGGACACCGCGTACAGGTGTTCAGTCTTGCCCTCCCCATCGTTTGCTTGTGTTTATAGTGTCAGCTGCACTCTCGTAAGCGAAGTCTTGGCGCGCATAAAGCTCAATTCGTAAATCTCCCTGCCAAAATTCGGAATTTCACGCCCTTCGAGGTAATATACTTCCTTTGTATCATCTTGTAAACTTGTCCTGATCACTCTCACGTCTATCCCAAAGAACTGTCTCCCAGATTTGTGCGCCACGCTTTGTGTCCTCTGTTGGCTGTAAATATCGGCGTGGGCGTGTATTTTGTGACCGGCTGAGGCCAGAGAAAGTCGACGAGAGGTGTGATCATTGGAATTAGGATGTACTTGGTCGTACTTGTAGACTCGATGAGACTTAGATAGGATTCGAACTCGTTGTGACCGAAAAAACGACGTGGAGGAGTAATTTGGATTTTTGCCTCGTGGGCCAACGTCTTTGATATTGCGAAATTTGACTGAATTTGGCTCTGGGAGAATATTTCACTCCCAGGTTTGTAGAGGACACCGCGTACAGGTGTTCAGTCTTGCCCTCCATTGCCGTGTCACGTACGGGCTGCAACTAGTTCGCGGAGTAGATGCCTCGATAGGGCTAGTTCAGGCGGCTTGCGCCGTTTCATGAGCAGATCTAGCTTTTGATACCGAATAGGACACGCTTTATCCCACCAATCGCTGAGCAAAGCCTGTAGCCGGTTATTCATGATATAGCGAAGGTATGCTAACGAAATAGATCCTGGTTGATTGTCCGGACTGGGAAGTATTCGTAAGCTGAGGCGCGCAGTAGCGTCTGCTTCTTCGTTCCCTTGTATTCCAGAGTGACCGGGAATCCACTTAATCGTCACAGCAGCTGACGCTGCGAGTATGCGAAACTGACGTACCTCTTCGAGGCTGGTTGAAGAGATACCCGTCTTAATTTATTTTACAGCATGCTGACTATCCAGAAACACATTCACTCGCCGTATTGTCTCCCCCAGCTGCTGTTGCGCTTCTTTCATTCTCAGCGCTCCTGTGATTTCTGCGTCCAAGACCTCTCCTCCGTATCGGATACCATTCTCCTGGTGAAGAATTTTACAAAGTCTCTTGAAAATAAAAACCCAAGCTGAACATCCGTTTCCCTCCGAAGAGCCATCTAAGTAGGCGCAAATATCTGATGCGGGCACGTCGTTTATCCCAAGTTTGCTTGCTTCTTTTCCTTCTGACTGTAACGGCTGGTAAGCCGATTGGTTCCTGTAGCGCATGTTGGCCAACATGAGCCTAGCCGGATATTGGTAGCGCACGATTGATCGACATCAATGCGTGGATATATGATGCCACTCAACAGAATATCAAGGCATCGGCATCTAGTTTGGCAGGGCAGCAGTATTGGACCATACAGCTACAACACATGTGAAGAATCCCATTGGAACCGAGAGGGAGGGACTGTGCCTCAACCACATAGACAATATATATATATGTATAGATAGAGACTGAAGTATGTGTGTGTGTGTTTTTTGTTTTTTTTTGTTCTTTATTTTAAAGTCCTAAGCTAAAGCTCTAGGTCCACTATCGGTACAAGACTGGTGGAGCCGATGGGGTTCTCTGCGTACAGGCCCAACTCATTCCAACCGCGGAAACCTCAACAAAAGTAGATGAAGTTAACGACATAACTTAAATCAAAACTAAAATCAAAGCGTAAATCAAACAAAAAACTGAAATAAACTGAAAAAAAATAAATAATAATTTAGAAGAATTTCATATGTGGTCCAGATCCCGCGCTTCTCACCCGTTTCCTTCCCTGTCACATCTTCCAAGTGACTTTTCCTAATCTCCGCTGAGAGCGAAAGATGAGCTCTCAGGTAACCTTTGCTGTCGGCTGGTTTCCTGCTTTTTGTTGTGAAAGTTGTTGTGAAAGTTGTTGTAGACTTCACCAAGGACTGCCGAGTCCTCAAACTTCTTCTTCGGTTTCCAGAATTCCGAAACCCGATCCCTCCGCCATGGAGACGTCCTTCGCAGAGGCGTTCCTCGCCTCTTCGTCTTTTTTGTATGCAGCTTTGACACGGGCAAAGTCTGCATATCTTTCTTGCTCGACTCTGCGAATTGCTGCAAGCTGTTCCTTGGTCACCGGTCCATCTTTTCTGGGTCTAGTTTGGCAGTGCCGAGAGTCCGATCGGTGAGGTCCCCCACAATTGCGACATCGTGTGAGGGCCTTGCACTCCACTTCCGAGTGCATCTTTGAGCCGCAGTTCCAGCAAGCTGGAGCGCGAGAGCATCCGCGGCTGGCGTGATAGCCAAGACAACGTTTGCACTGTTCGAGTTGTTGACGAGGTCGGAAGAGCTTCGCAGCTCCAGAATC